GTCGCTTTGAAAGTCCCACTTTGGGTCTCACCAGGTGCATGTCTGGAGTCAAAGATCATCTCATTCTTGACCCAAGCACTCCATGGGTCTGCATTGGGGTTGGTTCAGGGGTCAGTACGACATTATACATAATCATACATAATCATACATATCTATCTATCTATCTATCTATACGTGTGTGTGTGCCATACATATCATACATGGTCCCGCGCCGAAAACGGGTGCCGCACCTGATGGCATTGGATTCCAAATTCAACTGACGAAGTTCCAAGTTGGAGCTCAGGTTCTCGATGCTCCTGACGAGGTTCCAGGGATGAGCTTAGGTTCTCGAAGTACTGGGCCCCCAGTACTAAGGTGCACGGAGGTCCATAAATCGCATCAATAGGCCGAAGGCTCCGCAGGGTTGGATTCTTTCAACATCAGAATGCATCAGAATCATCTCGTAGGTTCAGGATCTTCTCAACATGAACAGTGGCCGTGATCTTGCCATCATTGACCCTTTGGATCGGGCACCAGCATTCTAAGGACTTCCAAGGAGGACCCATCTCACCCATCAACACCCACTGAAACTCCATCACATGTTGCAACAACTCCATCGTCGCGACTACACGTCGTCGCGACACGTTTACGCCGCGACGCTCTCCGACCTAATACGATTGCCCTCCAGGTGCAATGTGCGGAGGTCTGACATGCGATCGAGGCCTGACAAAGGAAAACGACGGCGGTGGACGTTTCCACACCGACAGAAGCGGAAGCCCTGGAAGATTAACCTGGAACCTGAGAAAAAACACCCACCGGGTTGTAGAGGAAACAAGTCTTTCAAAGGTCTATGAGTCTATGTCTATGTCCGGGCTCCATGTAAATCTTCCCGGGTGTATCCATGTGATTTGTCCAGGCTGGTTCAGAGGGGGAATATCTTTCGGTCCTGGCAGTTCTTGAAGCTGGGGTTGCCATTGCAACTATGCAGGTGCAAGTCCCTGATTTGTGAATCACACCACTGAGTGCAAAGATAGATTTTAGCGGATTGAGAGATATTGAGAGTGAGCAAATGGCACAGCACAATCCCCAACGGTGGTCTTGTGGACTCCCATGACATCGTGGGGGTTGTGCCATCTAGTTCTTGAATCCGCTGGGCCTGCCCCAACGCCCCAACTGTTGGACAAACACCTTCGTTAGTTGGGGCCCAGACCATCAATCTTGGCGATGTTGTTGCTGCCAAGGTACAGCGCCTCAGTGACCCAACAACAACCAGGGGTCACACGCCGGGGTGGTGTCTAGTCCCTAAGTGAGTGGATGTGACAGGGGCAACCCCTCCATGCATATAGCACCGTATTATTGAAACTCCTCGGAATGATGGATACTTTGGTCCATTGCCCATGTTTTGGTTTGGAGTAAGACTTTGTAAGGGACACCTTTGCCAATCCTCAGCCTCTTCCGTGTGTGAAGACTTTTGGACCAATTTGTGAGGCCAGCGACCTCAAAGCGGGACATCCAGGACGCACACTTTGAAGAACTCGTTCGACGAGAGAAGTGGTCTGCAGGTGGACAACTCATGAGATGTCCATACTCAATCTAGCCAGTTCAATCCGTTCAATACCTGTCTTGACCCGTCAAGATGTTTGCTCAGTTGCACGGAGAAGTTGCAGAACCACCTTGGGAATCTTGGAAGCTGACATGTCGGACCCGCCTGGTTTTGCAAACATGTTCAGCCACCTCATTCTAAAGGCCCCCGGGTCAACCCGGGGTTGCTATGCCTTCTAATGCGACGGTTGGGAGTGAGTGGTAATTGGGGTCCCGAGCTCTGATGTTGATATATGCCTCTAAGCCTTCGATCGTCTCGAAGCCTGGCTGCTCGCGGGCGCGCGCGGACATGTGACAAGGTGGCCCAGGCGTTTCACACAGACAGACATCGACGTGTGGTGCTGTTCCGCTGTGTCCACACATCGCTTGTTCGCTTCACGGTCCTTTCTCCGAACATCGCCCCTCTGGTTTTTCGCTGGGGCGCTGCATTCATATCCAAGGTCGTGTGGGCTAAATGCAAACAGAAGGCCAGCTGGTGTCATTTCCGAAGTTTTTTTTTCTAGTGCATGGCTCTGCTATTTCAATTCGTACATTCAAATTGACATGTGACGGGCCATCTGCTGGTCTCGGCCAAAATATATGATGTTTTCCGGGCCCTACTACTAAGAGGTACTTGATGGTACTAGTACCCCGTGAATGTGCCCTGAATATTGACATAATATGACATAATATGCATATATATATATGGTCCCGTAATGCCCGGGGTGAGTCAGCATTGCTCGAAGGCACGACCTCGAGCTCTCAGTGCCTTTGTAGTTCAAATAGAGCTGTGTGTTCAAGTGCGGCTGCGACCTGGGGCAAAGCTTGGTCAAATCTCATGAAGCTCTCACAGCATCAGCTTCCTCTCTGAATCTATGTGTGAACAAGCCAAAACAGAAGTCCTTTCAGTTGGGCGCAAGACACAAGGAGAATGAACAAAGTAATCGGCAAACTTCTGTGAAAGCACAATCAACTACAGTTCTACCTACCCTACCCCAAACAAAAAGTATCGACCATATGGCGGACACATCATGCGTCAACAAAACCGGGGAGAAGTGCACTGCTCAGCACTGCTGAAGCTCTGGCCACATGGAGCGTTCTTTGCAAATCTCCTTGATCAGCTCCGGAGACATTCGTCTCAAAAGCTTTCTCCTGGCGCTGACAATCCCTAGATTTGCTTAAGGAACAGGAGAGTATATATGCATATTCCTCAGGTTTAGATGGTTTAGGGGATTCACCCAGTTCGGGAAAATAGAGGACATCCGATCCGCAAGACCCAGCAAACGCGACGGTACGACGATGTGCGACGTGTGTATGCGACCTTTTGGTTCCACACCGGCAGGTGGAACGGGCCCGGAACCTGCCTTGGCCTCCTTGGCGTTTGCATCGTTTGCATGTTGGACAGGTAGGAGAAAGGCCTTTGATTCTGGGTTAGAGTCCGGCAGTCGAGTCACTTGCAGTCTCGGTGGACGCAACCTGGATTCGCAGTCGACTGCTCGACTAGATACTGTACATCAAGATTTAAAATCCCAAGATCGCTGCCCTAGATTCCAGTCGTCTTGCCAGCACCCACGGAGAAACTCCAGAGCTCTTTGATGGTTCTTTGTCCATTGTCCCATGTGCTCATGATGATCCTAAAATATCCTAAAAGGTCGTATACCTTCCACCAAATCACCATATACCGGGACCCACGATCGGGGTGCCTGGTGAAAATGACACCCTTAACCTCTAAGTAGCTATTATTGGACACCCCTGGCCCGGGGGGTCCTGGTATTCACCATCTTTCCGGCTGTTGTCGAGTTTTGGATCCTCCAACTGATCTGCATCGCATGCGATCTTGCGTGCCCCGCCCGGGCCCCGTCTCCACCCGCGCGACCTCTCAGCACCTGGATCCTCCGCCTTCACACGGTTTGTGGCGAACGGTTTCGTTTTGGGATTTGGGAGTGGTGTTGTGCGTGTGGTGCTCGTTTCGTAGATGTGTCATCCCAAGAAACTTCAGGCAATGGAGTTCATTGCATGACCCTATGACCCTTGCTTGTCAAACATCCCACTTGCCGGTGCAAATGCAAGCATCGTCAAACCATCCCTGGCACACTGGAGCACACTCGGTTAGCTTCCAACAAACTACACAAGAGAGTTCACACCTGAACATCTTCTCCATAGTTGAGACCTAGCTTGTTCACCATCCTCATGAATGAATAGAACAGCCTGCTTGAAAGAACATGTTCGAGCAGTGTTACAACATGTGCTTCCCAAGGTCTTGCTCGACCAAACGGCCCCAAAGGTGGGGGGTCATGTATGAATATGTCAGGTATGACAAGTTTAGCAAGCTACATCTATCGTCCCAAGTCCGATTGAGGTGGCAGCTGTTGACCCTGAGATCGCCTTTTCCTTGCGGACTGCGACTCAGCTACCAGTGTTCATGTTGACGGCACGTTCACTTCTGCATCTGGGAATACAGGGAATTGACTGTAAAGTGGAATCTGCATGAATCTGCCCTTGGTGATGTCCTTCTGAAGTAATGTGTGGGAAACAGAAGGGTCGCAAACTCACGTCTTTCGCCACTTCTCTTCCTCTCGGCGTAACTTCTTTCCAAGCAAACATAAGCAAACTATAGCAAACTTATCCATTGCTGCAGCATCAATCTAAACCGTCCTGTTCTTTGACGTTCGTTGTTTCTCTACGTTTCTCTCTTGCCGTCGCCAAGTTGGACGGTCTGCATCTTGTGAGAGGCAAGTGGCAGTTGGGCGGGTTTGGCATCGGTTCGTGCGTAGAACTTGCCTGAACAATCGCAGCGGTAGCCTTGGCGGGCGAAAATGGCTTTTCACAAACACATCACTGCTCGGGTTCAGCGTTCAATTGGTATCAATTGGTCATGGGGTCAATTAAAGAAGCAATCAAATACCTGAAACATCTTGAAACACCCACAGACTCACAAAGATCACAAAGATGAAACTGGTCAGTACCATTGTCTGAGGCTGAGTCCATGCTTGCCGCAGTGCCCAAACGGGAGATTTCTGCGATGGTAGCTGTTATCGGCCCTTATTGTGTAGGCTTAGTTTCTTTTTCCCAGTGGGGTAGTGAGCTACGCAACTCTTAATATTGAATTGGCCATCACTGTTAACATTTAATCGCGCGGGTGGGCTGAAAAGCAGTCCAAAATACTTGAATTTTGAGTGCTATGACTACAGCGCTGCTTGGAGCTTGAGAAGGCACACGCAAACCCGACAAATTCAGCACGGCGGAGTTTGGCCAGTCGGTGGTCCAATGCATGCACATACAGAACGCAAGTGTGACATCAATTCCTATGGCACGAAGCAATGAAGAACAAAACAATATAAACAAGATTAAACAAGGCGCACACTTCAGCTTGGAAAGGCGGGTCCCGCCCACTCACCAAGAAGTCCACGCTTTTCGGAATGAGTGACCGATGCGAAAAAGGCGCCTTTTTCCCCGGCCCTCACCAGGGGGGTCCGCGGTTGAAGCGGTTCCACATGCGGTTCGCATCATGGCCACCTCGTCGCTGCCGACTCCAGCTGGGACCATTCCTGACGCCGTGGCCATCTGCCAGTGCTTCTGTCGGATTTATGTGCCAAGGTATTTCTTTGATTTAACTGCGGACACTTGAAATAGCAAACAGTACAACTCACCACTCCCAAGAAGCTTTACGACATCAACCCTTCCAAAACTATCCAAAACTCCGACCCAATAAAAGGGAGTCTCATGAATGAGCTGTGGAAGACCATGGGAGACCTGGCACGCGGAGACTTCATGGGCATCTACAGTATGAAAAGGCGTCCAGTGAGGGGATTGGAGCCAGGCAAGACTCCAGAAATAGGCCTTGTTGTTACACTCTCAGGCCAGGTGGATCAGATCGGACACTAGTCAGTCCGAGGACGTAAAAGCTCAAACTGAGTGTCCAAGGTGAGGCCAAGGGTCCTAAAATCCTAGAAGGTCGACGGGGCGCCAGGTGGATCATGACCGTACTCTCTCTGTCAGGGCCAAGTGTCCGAAAATCGGGCCGAGGCAATCGCCAGTTAGGCACCACCGATTCGTTCCTGAGCCCGGTCGAACACGGGTTTGATACGCACGCAACGATGTGGCCAGCGGCTATAGCCAGGTGGCTCTGTGGTAGGCCGTGGAAGGCAAACAACACAAGCACTTTAAGGACTTGAGGGACAAAGAGGCACACTGCTGTCCAAGCTTCTTGCAGCTGTATCCTGATGGTCCGGCTGAGACTGTTGACACGGTGGGCCGCACAACAGAGAGAATGGCACCATTCCTTGGTATTTGATCAGCGGTGTTTTAAGCCCAGCCGATTTGAACAGGAGTCTGGGTTTGCTTGAGAACACTAGGTGTGAATGTTAACGAGACACAAACGATGTGAAGAACAGTTTTTGTTCTATTCTGGAACCTTTCTCTAGTTTCCCAGTGGCGAGGGCGTCCTCTCAGTTAAGGCATCAAAAAGGAGTCGTGGGTGACGGCACGCCTGCCGGGCCCTGGTGGTAAACACAATAGAAAATGACAAAACACATGTACCGCTGATGCGTCTGACAGCGTTCAAACCTCTTTCAACGCCTTCAGTGGGGACTACACTCCAACTCACGTTCTATGGATGTGGAAAACCACTGTCTTCACAATGGCCAATGCCCATCCACAGTCTTCCGAGGTCCGTGGCGTCTTGCTCCGAAAGTGTGGTCCCCTCAGGTGTCATCGGCGATCGCCCGGATCTCCCGAAGAACATCACCCATAGGCAAGTGCAAACTGGACATGCAAAAACATGTTCATGTCCAGTTTGCACTTGCCTAGGTAATTGAAGAAACCTGAGCAGAAACCGATCACTCACACCAAATCCCATGACCTCTGCCCAGCAGCTGCAGCCGCTCCGAGAAGGCCTGATCGCAGTCTTCGTGGCTTTTATGCCGCAAGGAGCAGCCTGCCACATGAGTCATGGGGTTGCTCAAGAGAAGGGGGTTGCCTGCAAAAGCGCTCACTACTGCTCAAGCAAAACAACACACACAAAAACAAGTCGTTCCCTGGTACAGTGTAGTTATATTGACTGAACACCATCTTCAAGCATCTTCCAGCAACAAGATTATGTGAGTGGATAGTGGATAGTAATTGACTTTTGGATCGTTGCGGGATTCCATCGAATTCTAACCTGCTAGACCGAGTAATGATCCATATATAGATCCATACGGTCGAATTACTTCGGTCATTCTGTACTGGAATGCCATAAGAGGCCCACTAAGAGGCCCCTTTATCTTGAACACCATTCTAAACCTGAATGCCGGCAGCTACGGGATAGGTCCTTAGAGTTGCTCAAGGGAACTACAACAAGAAATATCATCAAAGATCTGCGTTCTGAATGGAATTTCCCTCCTGGCATCTCTAGTCTCGGTCAGTGTTCTTTTAAACTTTTTGAGACCAAACAAAGGGTTTCTACCTCCGGATCCCGCAGGAGTCGTGCCGCGCGCGTTCCACCAGGCCCCGCCATCGATGGCGACGATGAAATCTCCTTCGGCCAGGCCCAGCTGCCCGGGCAGCGGGTCCACGGATTGCACCCGGATGCCCCAGTCATCATCGAAACGCAGGTCTAAGCCAGTGTTGCCTGGACGACAGATCTCTTCAGCGGGGGTCTTACACCGGGCGGTTTAAGTCACAGCCATTTGTTGCATGTCTAAGGGTCTCGTTTAAGTAGGAGGGTCTGTGACTGCTTGGTGCATGTCTAAGGCTGTTGGAAACATGTGGTTCGGTTGGGTCAGAATTTTCACATCATCTGACCTGTCCATCGTTGTTGAGGTTTGAACCAATATTCTTGTTCCAGTTCAGGCACACGCAAGTCTGACATATTCAAGCAAATGAGGAAGAAACATGAAGCACCTCGGCAGCAACGCTAACAAAACAAAACAAAAACATCCACATTCAGGAGATGAGTTGGCAGCGATCATTGGATATATCATCTAGGGTAACACCAAGGATCGCTTTGGGCACTCCACAACCACCCGTAATACTCAGTAACCTATATATGCAAACAAATTGACCCTCATCCTTTCAGCAAGTTTTATTTCGGTCAACAGCCCGGCTGGCCTTGGGCATCCACTGCCAAGCGCACACTGCGTGCCGTGTACACAGGAGCTGCGGCCTCGCGCGGCTCCTCTGCCCACAGCGCACGAGCGTCGCGCGGAGCGTCGGGCTCCGGCGGGGTCCACAGACCAAGGCCTCAGCGGGACCAACGTAGACTCTTGATGAACAAAACCTCCAGATTTGGATAGCCTCCTCCTCCTCATATGGAGTTTTTTGTAACGGCTTCATTATCGGCTTTATTATAAACATGAATGTGCTCAAAGAACCTCAAAGCTGGATCCAGCAGTGTCCAAACATGACGACAGGTGCTTGGGCGCACCAACATGGATGAATCCAACATGGATGTTTCTCCCACCGATTTGTTTAAACACGTCCGGCGGCATCAAACGCTTGTGCTCAAACATGTCTTGTTCGTTTTTTTAACGCTTTAAAAAAACGCTAAGAACAGGCATTCCGGTCTTCCATCAGTCCTAAAAGGTCCACGTCGCATGCAAGCACAATCCCAATCCACTCGCCAAGAGGGAACCACCGAAAGAACTTCTCTCACAGGGAAGAACTTCTGGGGGCTTCTCTCAAATGTACAGGTCTACAATCCAGATCAACCCCGAATATGTCGTCAATTTCTTCCTCCCTACCAAAGTCTCCACCGGCGTTTCAATCCTACCGTTTTTAAGAATTCTACACCACCCAAAGATTCTCCGAATGAGAGTACAAAGATTCTGATGTGAGAACCTCACTTTAAGAGTCAGAAATCAGTACACGACTCTTTTGGCACAACGGCACCCCCACGGACGCCACTTGCGACGCGCCGAGCCTCGCTGCGAGCTCCGGCGGTCCGGTTGAGAGGTCTTCCGACTGAGCGGCTGGAGCTCTGCCTTCCGAAGGATCGGATCTGTGGCCCACAAGGGCCAACCAAAAGGAGTAGGCTGAACGCTTGCTTCCCCACGTTGTGCACTTCTTATGTTTTTCCCGAAAGCATTGCGAAGGGTTCTTCCGGAAAATCCTTTGAACACTGACACTTCGACACTTAATTACACTTAGACATTGACACTTTCACCACACTTGCAGGACAACATGAACGCTATACGTAGAGCGAAAGCAGTGAAGTGCAAAGTATGCAATGCAAGTGTCAAAGTATGCAAGTGGAAGTATGCAAGTGTAAGTATGCAAGTGGTGAGTTGCAAGCATGCAATGAGTATGCAAGCATCATGTAATGAGTAGGCAAGTGTGAGTATGGAAAACTAGCACGGGAGATGTCCTAATGAAAAAACATTTCCCCACTTTATAAATTCTCTCTTAAAGGCGGAGGGTGGGACGAACAGCGTCAACCGAAAGTGCAACCCTCTGCGGAGATCGTGCGTGTCGAGTGCGCGAAATGCAGGCGAGAGTGCGATTCACCGGCTGCCCGCGCAACCCTCTGCGGAGATCGCGCGTGTCGAGTGCGCGAAATGCAGGCGAGAGCGCGATTTGTGAAATTACCGCGCAACCCTCTGCGGAGATCGCGCGTGTCGAGTGCGCGAAATGCAGGCGACGAGAGCGCGATTTGTGAAATTACCGCGCAACTCTCTGCGGAGATCGTGCGTGTCGAGTGCGCGAAACGCAGGCGAGAGCGCGATTTGTGAAATGAGCACGCGACCCTCTGCAGAGATCGTGCGTGTCGAGTGTGCGAAATGCAGGCGAGAGTGCGATTTGTCCGGTGTGCGCGCAACCCTCTGCGGAGATCGTGCGTGTCGAGTGCGCGAAATGCAGGCACTGGCGACATTCTAGTGCTACTTCAGTACGCGGAGCAATCTGTGGAGCTGGAAGCTGGGAACTGGCGACTTTGTAGTACAACTTGAGCACGCGGAGTCTCTGGGGAGCTGGAAGATGAGAACTGGCGACTTTGTAGTGCAACTTTAGTACGCGGAGTAATCTGTGGAGCTGGAAGCTGAGAACTGGCGACTTTGTAGTACAACTTTAGTACGCGGAGTATCTGGGGAGCTGGAACCTGAGAACTGGCGACTTTGTAGTGCAACTTTAGTACGCGGAGTATCTGGGGAGCTGGAAGATGAGAACTGGCGAT